AAAACAATCACCAAAATATGTATATTGTGTCCAGCCACTTTCAACTCCCCACCAACCAAGGATATACACACCGCCCGCGAAGCGGGCGGCGACTGCTAGTGACTGCAGGTATTGCGGTCTATGCAAACATGACTCCTTGTAAAAAGGTGTCAGTTTTGTTGCCAGATAGAAGGGTAAAAAAACAATTATCATATTTTTACTGGCAAATGAGGTTCCCACAATTTTAAGCCAATTTAGGGGCACTGCAATGTCACCTGTCCTGTGAGGGTCGGCCAATCTACTGGCACCGGGAAACCGTGGGACTATCCCTCTCGGGCCCCTTCGGATTAAAACCCGATGTGCCAGGTAACCCCCCGTCTGGACACTACATGGGCACGCTGAGTGTGGTTGTGTGTTTGGTGCGGGGGCTTGGAGTCGGATCGCAGCATTTGCGGAGTTGCTCCGTGGTCATGGAACCATATAGCCCCTCAGGTGCCTGTCCCCGTCCTGGGTTGACTGAAGCACCTCGCCTGGGCCACCCCAACCAGGTAGTGCTGCGGAGTCCGTTGGACTTGCCTGGCCCTCCTTGCCGGTTTCGTGGGTGGTGGCTCCACTGTCCGAGGTTCTGGCAGTGGTCTCCGTCTCCATTCCAGAGGCGCCTCCCATCCTCCGGCGTCCACTGGCTGGGGGACAAACTCAGGGGCAGAGGGGTTTAAGTACCAGCGCGCCCGCCGTCTTTTTGCCCGGCCGGGGTCCGCTGGGAACTGGGGCCCTGCTAGGCCCATGTACGGCGCAAAGCCGTCAGGCATGGGGGGCATGGGAGGGGGCGTGGGGATTCCGGGGTTTCGGGATATCTGAAGAGCGGGTCTCTCCCCCGCTGGGGCCGCCCTCCACAGTTTTAGTCGGCGGACATTGACCACCGTCTCTCGGCCCCTCTCCCCACCCTGGATCAGTACCGTCATAGGGGGAGATCCATCGCACCACGATCCAGGGTCCGCGCCAGTAGGTGGTCAGCTTCCCCACCTGTCCGGCCACCATGCCTGGGGTATGCAGCCATACCTTAGAGCCCGCCGAGTAGAAGGGGAGCTAAACACGGGGGCAGGTGCCCTGCTCTTGCTGCTTATGTGCGGCTTCCCCCTGTTGGTAGGCCCGGCCACGGGCCCCTCGCAGGGTCCCCATAAGGTGATAAGGTGTCCCCCTCCTCCGGTTGTGGTGGTGGAACGCTGAACAACAGATTTGCCGGCAGGCAAAACTCCCGACCAAACATCATTAGGAAGGGGTTTTGACCAGTGGAGGTGTGCACCATGGTAGTGTAGGTGAACAGAGCCTAGAGGAGGTATTCGTCCCAATCCTGCTGATTGGCGGCTGCCATGCGTTTGAGCTTCCCATATAAGGTCTGGTTCATGTGCTCCACCATGCCATTTGCCTGGGGATGGTATGCCATGGTTCGGTCCTTCTGGATTCCGAGCTCCCGGCACAGCGTCTGAAATAGCTCTGCCTTGAACTCACTAGTCTGGTCAGTAATGCCTCGTTTTGGGATCCCATGTTAAAACACGTAATGCTCCACAAATGCCCGGGCGACCACAAGGGACGTTTTATTGGGGATGGCCACTGCCACTGGGTAGCGCGTGATATACTCCACTGCTACGAGAATATACCGGTTGCCTCAGTGGGATCATGGGAATGGCACCTGTAGGTTGATCCCCACTAGCTGGTTCGCCCGCCTGACGCAGAACGGCCTCAGGGGCACCTGATACCGCGCCGGTTTCTGCCCACACCGTTGACAATTGCAGCAGCCCTGTATCCAGGTGACCACGTTTTGTGTCAGTTTGGGCCAGAGATACAGGCAATGAAGGTTCTCCCGAGTGTGCCGTTCCCCATCATGGCCCCCGAACGGGTGGTCGAGCACCAGCCGTAACAGCTGGGCAGCACCTGGGCAGAAACACAGATGCACCCCGGCTGCCTGGCTTCGGTTAGTTCCCGCACCACCCCACTCTTTACACACAACCGGTCGAGCAAACCACTCCAGGGTCCCTGTAGGGTGACCTTTTCCTCCCGCAGGGCCGCTGCCGTCACCACCAGGTCCGGGTCCCGCTGCTTGGTCTGTCGCAGCTGCTCGTCGTCCAGGCCCGGGAACGCACAGCCGACGTCCTCTTGGATCTGACCAGGCCGGGCCAAGCGGCCCATCAGACTCCTGGTTGCGGGCTCTGTGCTCACAGGGCGGCACACGGGGTCCCCGGCTCCTTCCACAGGGACCTCTGTGGCACACATGGCACTCTCTCTCAATCGAGGGAGTTTGTCTCAGGATGTTCCAGGGGGGCTATTGCCTGTTGGCAGCATCCCCCTGTGAAGCACGGGCAGGCCTCCTCAGCGCACTGCGAGTCACCTTGACAATGCATCCGCGTTTGCATGCGTCCATCCAGCCCTGTATTCGATCTGCAGGTTATACTCCTGCAGCTACATCAGCCACCGGGCCAATCTCGCTGAATCCCTTCACAAATCGACGATAATAAGTGGCTAGCCCCAAAAATGACCTGATCTTCATCAGGTTCCTCGGCCGTGGCCACTCCACTATGGCACATACCTTTTTCTGGGTTGGTGTGCACCCCTGCCTCGCAGACGCGGTGTCCGAGGTACCCAACCTCGCACTGTGCAATATGACACGTGGCTTGAGCTTGAGATGGGCTGCTAGCAGTCATTGGGACACCTCCAGTAACCTGGTCCAGTGCTCAGACAGGGATTCATTGCATTGGTTGATTTCACCTTGTTAACCTTTGTGGTGTAAACAACGTGGTACCGACAGGTTGTCTGAAGTACCATACTGTTTGAAACTTTTAATATCTTTCACAAAATAGTCTCTGGATTTTTTAGTGGTTTTGGTGAAATATATTGCATAAAATCTCTGAATTTAAAAGGTAATGAGGTATTTGATAACATCTGTAGAAAACAAGAATAACAATACTGTACGTGTATTAATTAGCAAGGCATACAACCAACCTCCAATTTACACAAATAAAACAATTGCATTTCTAGATTTGAAGCTTTCGTGACTGCAAGGATTCATATTCTTAGGTTTTTTCAGTAAAGTCACGTAGGTAAAAAAATAAAATAAAAATTAATAAAAGTAAAATAAAATAAAAATAAAAATCACGACGTTTCGATTGCAACACAAGCAATCATCATCAGGTATAAATGAAATAGCAACAAAAAATTCTAACCAGAAAAACTATAGACAGACATATAAGCAGACAGATATCACCAAGATACATAGAGAGAGAGTAACACAGGTACAGAGAGGAAGATCGTCTCTGTGGAGTGGCCTTAAATAGGCAGAGAGGGCGGTGGTAGAGAGATGGAGGGGTTAGATAAAAAATTAACATGTCAATGAGTGCGGAAAACGCGTAAAAAAATTAACATGTCAATGAGTGCGGAAAACGCGTAGTAAAGTAAGCAAGTTTGAACATTAGGAGAGAGGGAGAAAGAACACACTAAATTAAATAACCTAGCAAAATATCGAAATGTTATGTAATACAACACAGAGAGTCGGTCAACACACAATTAACGCATAGCCTGGTCGATTACGTATTTCAAAGATTGCTAAGTTAGAATTTAAGTGTGAAAATTCCAAAGAAATACGAAACATAAAACAAAAGGAACGGAGACACACAGACAGAGCAGAACATAAGAACGACAAAAAACGAGTGTAGACAGAAAAAAGTACACTAAATACACAGACAAAGAGAGAAAACAAAAACCCAGAGAGAGAGAAAAAAATTAACTTGGAACTTCTCCGTGGAAGTGGTTCAATTCTATATTTGAAGCGTTCGTGATTGCAAGGATTCAAATTCTTAGGTTTTGTCAGTAAAGTCACGTAGGTAAAGAATTAAAATTAATAAAAGTAAAATAATTAATTTTAATTTTAATTTTTTACCTACGTGACTTTACCGAAAAAACCTAAGAAAACAATTGCATTTTTTGCATTACCCATATTTGTGGATCTCTTTATTCACTACCACTGATAATTATCTATCATAATAGAGTTGAATATACAATTGTTACCATGAAAGAATGACGATCCTGATGAGGCATACAAATGTAACTCAGTGATATTTATTCAATCAAAATAACTCCATACATATAACGTAATGTGTTTGCCAACAAATAGAACAATATTGAAACCAACATTACCCATTAAGTAACACAACTAAGTAACAATCCACCCATTAATACAATTAAAGCTCAAAATAACAACTGAAGCAGATGATTAATGGATAGCAGAATACGTTTTAGAATTGGTGGCAAAAGAGACATTTAGCCAAAGGAAAGAGTTGTCAACAATATCGATGAGTGAAACAGTGAAGAACAAGAGTGACGATGATGATCATGTCGATTATAGCTATGCATGGAACGGAGGCGTGGATATTGAAAAAGGATGGAGTGAGATGTTGAGAAGCGTTTGAGGCGTGGATATGGAGGTTGCAGAGCAGAGAGTAGCTGGGCAGAAAATTAAACCAATGAAGATATCTTAACAGCATCTACCAAAGAAAAACTAATTTGTAATCCAGCAGAAGGAGAGCACACACTTAGATTGAATGCATTCTACAAGGGGACGGGTTGAAAGGGAAACAAATGACAAAAAGTTCAGGGATTGGGATTTTGGAGGATCTGAAGGAGGCATTTGTGGAAATGAATACAATGGCAGAGAACAGAACAGAGTGTACTGCTAACATGGCCGGTCGAAATGGCGTCACATTCAACGATATTTTTGGAAGGTGAGGTTCTCACATTGTGTGACGACATGACCTTGCCATTCAAGGTTATCCAATGTGAAGGTTTTATCACCAAGTTTAGGCCAACCTCTTTATCAATTTGCCCGCGTTGATATCGGTTAAATAATAACAATCACACAACTTTTTTCCAAACATTAATTTATATTGGATCATCTTGAGAAAAGTTACTGTGAATCCATGATAAAGATAGACAGACCGAGATAATGCCTTACTAATCTTTAGGTAGCTTGGTAAAAAAAACCCGGTCACAGAAATTCAAGTTCTGCATTCACACATACAGGTAAAAATATAGTACATTACATTTTATATCAACAACATTTTGCAGTGCTATATGTTAGAATGCTTTGGAGATACAAACGATAGAAAAATATACATTTAAAAATGTTAACATGTTTATTTTATGCGTAAATATGGTACTTATTTAGACGAATATATGTTGGAAATAACGAATAATTAATGCTTATTGCTGATTTTTTCACGACTTGTATTATTATATATAATGATAATTTCTAAGACGCCTCGAAACAATCCCTATCAGTGTCACGTATGTAAAGGAGCATGTAAGCGGGAAACAACAGAGGGAATAGACACAAAATAGAGAACTAGAAAGAGAAGGCCGTTTATACAAATAGATCTTTAGCTAATACATAAACGTCTCAAACTACTGTGAGTTCCTGACCTCTAAATTTAGGGAATTCAATAGCTTGGGTGCTGTACAAACAAAAGCACAGTGGTAGCCCAGTTTTGAACCCTCCATCATGGATTATGCTGAGTAGGGCACGATTCATGGATCTCAGAGATCCCAGTGGCCAGATAGTGGAGCATATGACTGGATATTGAGGCTTGTGGCTGGATAGTGGAGTGTGTGGCTGCATAATTGAGTTTGTGGCTGGATCACGGAGTGTGTGGCTGAATCAACTCCTATATATAAGCTGCATTATGCCAATTTGCAGCCCTGGACCCCAGTATGATGAATCTGAAACTCAATTCGCTTTTAAAACAGAAGCCAAGGTAGAGACATCAGCACAGGTCAGACATGGTCATGAAGAGGAGTGTGAGTGAGCCTCAAACGGCCACATTTTGGACATACTTTATGCTATTCAGGAGGTTACTTGGGGCTCTCGAGAGCAAAGCATTTAAAAACGAGCACGTGGACGAGATTATCAGCATGTTCATATAAAAGGAATGTGGTGCCACTTGGGTAAAATTCATTGAATAGAAGAATTATGTCCGCAAAACTCTTGTGACATGTGAACGAAAAGTTGAAGACTGATCCAAGAAGACACCAAGATTTCTAGCTTCGTTTGTTAGATAGACATCATGACGATGGATCACCAGATTGATGGGGGGTAAAGTCGGACAGCTGGTGGGGGTGGGCAATTAGAGGGATCTTGCTTTCATCACCGTTAGCTTAGAGAACATTCTGCCACATCCAATAGTTTATGAGAGACTGCGAAGAAGTGAGCACACATGCCAATTACACAGACTCTGATCCCAATTAAAAATAGATTAATGTGTCATCCATGTACCAATAGTAGCATAGCCCTTGACGTTTTAAGCGAATCTCCAAGCAGGACCACGTACACACTGTATAAACTGTGACCGAGAACAGATCTTAAAACCGCCCATAGACGATTTTGCAAGGAAGGAGTGGAATCATTGCAAGCCAATGTCTGGGACCCCTATAAAGAGTTTCAAATGCTCTGATCAAGAAGACTAAAATCTGCGCTCAGATCAAGGAGAACGATAAAGCTTGCAAAGCTTTTTATTTGGAGACGTTAGCAAATAATTGACGACCCTCACCAGAGATGTATTGGTGCTACATCCTGGTCTAAAACCTGACTGAAATGGACCAAGCAAGTTGTTTAAGGACAAATGTTGATGATACAGTGTGGTCACTGCTGGTTACACCAACCCACGGGGGATTATTCTGTCCGTCGTCCATTCCAAATTTGAGAGGGGTGGGTGGGGCTGGGTAGAGAGGGGAAGGTGGGGAGGGAGGGGCTTGGTTGGGAGGGTAGGGTGGGGAGGGGCCAGTGATAGGGAGGATGGGGCTGCATGGGGAGGGGAGAGTGGGGAGGGGCTGGGTGGGGAGGGTGGGGAGGGGCTGGGTGGGGAGGGTGGGGCTGGGTGGGGGGTGGGAGGGGTTGGGCTGGGTGAGAAGGGGCTAGTCACCCCGTGTTGCCCTTATAAAACTTAACGTTTAACAGGTAGGAACAACAGGTTGCACACTGCCAACTAGGGATTATTTGTCTGTCGTGCATCGGAATGCAGCCTACCCATGCCCCCCCCCCCCACCGACCACCGAGCAGGGCCACGATTGGTTGAGGATGTCGGGGAGGGTGGGGGGAAGTTAAACACACCCAATCATCCAACTCCCCCCCCCCCCCACAAACGCCGAGCATGGGCCGCCATTGAAAGAGGTGGGGTGTAAACACGCCCACTCATGCAATCCCCACCGAACACCGAGCAACGCCGCGATTGGTTGACAATGTCGGGGAGGGTGGGGGGAAAAGGGTAAACATGCCCACTCATCTAACTGCCCCTCCCCCTGAACGCCGCGCTGAGTGTGTGTGAGTCTGAGAGTGTGAGAGTGAGTGTGTGTGACTCTGAGAGTGTGAGAGTGAGTGTATGTGTGTGTGAGTCTGAGAGTGTGTGAGTGAATGTGTGTGTGTGAGAGTCTGAGAGTGTGAGAGTGAGTGTGTGTGAGTTTGCGAGTGTGAGAGTGAGTGTGTGTGTGAGTCTGAGAGTGAGTGTGAGAGTCTGAGAGTGTGAGAGTTAGTGTTTGTGTGAGTCTGAGAGTGTGAGAGTGAGTGTATGTGTGTGTGGCTCCTGCCACCATGAGGGGCTCCTGCCACCATGAGGGGTGGACAGTCCTATTCTCGGGGCAGGAGACTGCCAAATAACAGGGTGTGGGCTCTTCTCTGAACAAAATAATGAAGGGGGCGTGGGAGTGTGGCGGTGAGGTGTGGGAAGCTGTAAGCCCCAGGATACTTTGGGCTCGCCTTCCCATAAACCGGAGGCGAGAAGTGGTGGTCGTGGTTACTTATGCCCCCACCGAAGACGAACATCCATGGAGGGATGCAGGCAAAGCTGAGTCAGATGACATCTATAACCTCCTGTCACAGGTGCTGGCTAAAGTGGCCACTCAGGACAGAGTCATCTTGTTTGGTGAGTTGGTCATAATGCTGCCACCTGGTCTGGAGTGATTGAAAGGCATGGGCCAGATCAGCTCAATAACAATGGTAGGAGGCTGCTAGATTTTTGTGCAGCCCATGGGCTTGTAATTACACACAACATCATGGATGCATGCCGGTTCCAAGAAAGAACATCTGCTGGACTGCATAGTGACGGACCAGCGGATGCGAGCCCATGTATTTGACACCAGGACCTAACGTGGAGCTGATCTGCCCTCTGACCATCGACTGTAAAATGCGCCTGCCATTCTTCCACTTCGGTGGTGGGTGTACACCCAGGACCCCATTCCAACCTAAAGTGACCTGGTCTCAGTTAGCTGATGAAAGTTGCAAGCGAGAATTTCATCATCGCTTGCAGCTGGGGTTGGCATCATCCCCCACTCCTCCTGATGTCGAGGGTAAATGGGCGAGGTTTAGGACTGTGACTCATGCAGCTGCAATGGCTGCTTTGGGTACGCGGTCCAGACCTCCCCAGAAAGACTGGCTGACAGAGGAGGTGTTCAGGTTAGTTGAGAAAAAGCGAAAGGCCCACTCTCATCGGCTACAGAATCCCACGTCAGAGAATGAGGAGGTTTACCGCAGCCTTCGCTCGGAGGTTCGGAGAGCCGTAAGGCGCTGCAAGGATGGGTGGTGGTCGCGGGCTGCTAAGGAGATGGAGTCTGCCTCAGTGGCCCGCAATCACAACTCACTATTTAATTCCATCAAAAAAGTAACCTGCAGCACCACACCTATTACCATCATTAGGGGAAAAAACGGTGATCCAATCTCCGACTCCCAGGAACAGGTTTGCAGATTTGCTGAGCATTTCTGAGGTCCTGGGGAGGGGAAATCCCTCAGCCAGGAAAACATCATGGCACACAGTGGGGATAACCCTGCTGAGGCTGGGGTGCCTCAAATATTGGAAGAGGTCACTCCCTGTGAGTGGCTGGTTGAGGTGCCATCTGTTGAGGAAATACTGAATGCGATCCGGAGTCTGAGACCAGGAACGGCACCGGGCAGAGATGATCTCCCAAGCGAAATGCTCAGAGAGGGTGAAGTTTGTGCACAAACTGCCCTATATGACATCATAACAACAGTCTGGACCGCTGGGCGGGTTCCGCAGGATTGGAAGGATGCCCTGGTAGTCCCCCTCTTTAAGAAGGGGGACCGCACAGACTGTAACAACTACAGGGGCATTTCACTCCTCAGTGTGCCGGGAAAGGTCCTGGCAAGGATTATTCAACATCGCCTTACTAGGCACGCCAAGGAGAGGCTTGCGGAGCCCCAATGCGGTTTCAGGAAAGGGCGGTCCTGCACAAATGCCATATTTTCTGTCCGTCTGCTAGAGCAGAGGTGTAGGGAATTTCAACAAGACCTACATCTCTGCTTTATTGACCTGGTCAAGGCCTATGATACCATCAGTAGGCCTGGGCTCTGGGTTGTTCTTCGTGCTTTCAGAGTCCCTGACCCTCTGCTCATGATCATTAAGGACTTTCATGATTGTGAGCGGGCCCGGGTTAAACTACGTGGCCGGGAATCAGAGCCTTTCCCTGTACACCTTGGCGTGCGACAGGGATGTCCTCTGGCTCCCACATTATTTAACATCTATTTTGACCACGTAGTTCGTGAAGCCTTCAATCGCTGTACCGGGGGAATATCCATTAGGTACAGATATAATGGGAGGCTGATCGATGCACGGGTGCGATTAAGGGATGGCTCCCTATTGGTCAACCACGTTATGTATGCCTATGATTTGGTAATAGCTGCTCATTCAGAGGTGGAGTTGGAGGCGCTGCTGCTGAGACTGGAGCATACCACTAAGAGGTGGGGCCTTACCATCAGCCCCACCAAAACAAAGCACCTGCCTGGGTATTTTGTACCATCGGACACTTCAACCCCAAAACTCCCATTCGGTGATGGGGCAGTAGTGGAGAGAGTGGAGAGTTTCCCATACCTGGGCAGTGTGCTTATGACTGGCTCCAGTTTAACAGCAGAGGTCTCACTCCGAATCAGATGAGTGGCATTATCTTTTCATCGGTTGCGTAACGCTGTGTGGAAGCGACTTGGTCTGTCGCTCCACACGAAGCTTCAAGTCTTCTCGGCCACAGTCATTCCCTCCCTTCTCTACGCTTGTGAAACGTGGACCCCCCTAATGGAGCATCTTTGCCGGTTGGAAACATTTAGGCTGGCCTTCCTCCGATTCATCCTGGGTTTAACCAGGCTGGATTATGTGAGGAGCTCACAAATCCTTGAAAGATCTGGGCAATGTCCCAACGGAGAGCTCCTCCGGCAGGCAAGGCTGCGTTGGCTGGGTCATGTAGCCCGCATGCCCAGCCACGGTATGCTAAAACAGCTTTTGTTCGGCCGGATTGAGGGGGCTAAACGGATGTGTCACGGGCTAGAGAAGAGATGCAGTGATGTAGTACAGGAGGACGTGGAGCTGAGTGGACTTGCCGATGACTGGTACCAGCGGTGTCAAGATCGGCCTCTGTGGAGGAGGCTCGTGAAGGACGCTACTGGGCAGTTGGAGGCAGTCACCCTCCAACAACAACGGAGGGTGGAGGAGCTATGCTCACAACAACGAGCAAAGCGCCGGGTGGCTAAAGCACAGCAACTTGGCACAGTAGGGGGCACAGGTGGTGCATCAGCCAGTCATCTCGGTCATCTCAGTCAGTCGACCCGTGGAACCTGTGTCTGCCCCGTGACCTCCTGCCAGCGGGCGTTCGACACTTCACGTGGCCTCAAGGTGCACATGGCCTGGCACAAGCGTTGTGGTGACGTCACTGCATCTTAGTGGTGAATGGCGGTTGTTGTTGTGTGTGTCTGAAAGTGTGAGCGTGAGTGTGTGTGTGTGAGTCTGAGAGTGAGAGTATGTGTGTGTGAGTCTTAGTTACCTAGAGTGTTATACAGGTAGGAAGAACAGGTTCCACACTGCCCACCAGGAATTATTTGTCTGTCTGTCGTGCATATCCGGAATTTCACCCACCCATGCACCTCCTCACCAAACATCGAGCTACGCCACGATTGGTTGACGATGTTGGGGAGGGTATGGCGGAAGGGTAAACACGCCCACTCATCCAACTGCCCCCTCCCCCCTGAACGCCACGCTGTCCAACCAAGTTCCTGCCTGCCCACTCCGAAGGAACGTGTAACCTACTCACGCCGGCTTGTGCCCGCCCTCACAGTCAGGCATATTTGCGGAATACACCACGCCGCCGTTGACCCTCGCCATTGACCGAGCAACCCAATGTTACTACCAGCTCCCTCCGCAGGAATGTGTTTAACAAACATGGGAGATTTAAATTTGGACATAAATTGTGGTGCCTTTAACAAGAGGTGGGTGGATATCTGGAGGTATCGGCACAATTGAGGTTGGCAGTCATTGTGAACAAATTGTGCTGATTTTATAAAGAAAAAATTGTGAATGAATTGCAATGAACAGTAGAGATTACAATTTAAGATACTGGCCTGTATTCAGAGGTGATTAACAATGAATATTTTTTTCATTAAACCTAGTGGCAATTAGGCGGGCAGATGGTCAGATGTCGTTAGAGATATGACATCCTTGTAGTTGTGGAGTGATGTCTTAAAAAGATGTCGCTAAATGAAAAAAAACATGACTTCCTCCAGACCCGCTAAGATTGAAGAACCATTGATTTAATCATCCATAGCTCGTCTGAATGCAATGGGAAGGGCTTAGTGGTAGAAATCAGTAAGGTCTTGAGAGGATTTAGATTTAATGGGATCATAATGTGTATGTAAACACATTCCTGCGGAGGGAGCTGGTAGTAACATCGTCAACCAATTGCGGCGTAGCTAGGTGTTCGGTGGGGAGGTGCATGGGTAGGAGGAATTCCGGATATGCACGACAGACAGACAGACACATAATCCCTGGTGGGCAGTGTGGAACCTGTTGTTCCTACCTGTACAACACTTTAGGTAACTAAGACTCACACACACACTCACTCTCACACTCTCAGACACACACACACACACTCTTACACTCTCAGACTCACACACACACACTCACTCTCACACTCTCAGACTCACACACTCACTCACCCTCACACGCTCAGACTCACACACACTCACTCTCACACTCTTAGACTCACACACACACATTCAATCTCACTCTCAGACTCACACACGCACACTCACTCTCGCACTCTCAGATAACAACAACAACCGCCATTCGCCACTAAGTGGCGGTGACGTCACCACGACGCTTGTGCCAGGCCATGTGCACCTTGAGGCCACGTGAAGTGTCGAACGCCCGCTGGCAGGAGGTCACGGGGCAAACCCAGGTGCCACTTGTCGACTGACTGAGATGACCAAGATGACTGGCTGATGCACCACCTGTACCCCCTACTGTGCCAACTTGCTGTGCTTTAAGCACCCGGCGCTCCGCTCGTTGTTGTGAGCGTCGCTTCTCCATCCTCCATTGTTGCTAGAGGGTGACTGTCTCTAACTGCCCAGTAGCGTCCTTCACGAGCCTCCTCCACAGAGGCCGATCTTGACACCGTTGGTACCGGTCATCGGCAGGTCCACTCAGACTCACACACACAATCACCCTCACACTCTCAGACTCACACACACACATACACTCACTCTCACACTCTCAGACTCACACACATACACTCACCTTCACACTGTCAGACTCACACACACTCACTCTCACACTCTCAGACTCACACACACACACTCAGCGTGCCGTTCGGGGGGGAGGCGGTTGGATGAGTGGGCATGTTTACCCTTCTCCCCCACCATCTCCGACATCGTCAACCAATCGTGGTGTTGATCGGTGTTCGGTGGGGAGGGGATTGCATTACTGTGCATGTTTACACCCCACCCCTACCATTGGCGGCCCCACCCCTCCCACCCCCCATGCAGCCCCACCTTCCCCACCACTGGTCCCTCCCCACCCTACCCTCCCAACCAGGCCCCTCCCTCTCCACCCTCCCCTCTCCACCCAGCCCCACCCACCCCACCCATATTTGGAATGCACGACGGACAGAATAATCCCCTGTGGGCTGGTGTAACCAGGAGGTTACTACCAGTAAAAGCAGTCTCCTTAAAGAGCACGTAAAGGCAAAGGCTTCAGTAATTGTAGTGTAGTTTAGCATATAGTAAGACAAATGGCATTGCGGTAAGGAGAGTCACCAAAGTAAGCACATCTTGGAAATGACTGCACAGTGATTAGATGAGCCTATATAAAGGTCATTGACTGGAAAGCCAATGGATCATACTTATTTCAGGGTATGTCCGAGGGTGTGAGTCGGGCCAAACAACTCAAGAATGGAAAGGAAGTGTGTTACTGAATAATGTATTTGTGCATTTCCATGAATGTTAACAGCTGCAAATAACAGAATCCAGAAGCAAGCCGCTTAGAGGAGATCATTGGTGGTCGATAAAGGAGTATGATTGAGCAGAATTGCAGCAATGGCTGCACAGTCCTACAATGTACATACACCTTCATATATATGCATACGTTGGCTTGCAAATATCTATGCACCATTGTTAATAATTACTGCAAAGTTATCATATTAACCTGCATTAATAATATACATATTCCTAACTGAGTAGCGAAGCATGGGATTTACCTCATAGTGTGTTGCCCTCTTTTCAGCCGTCGCACACTTCGCCTGGATATATCCATGAACACATGCATCCGATGATGAAAACATTAATACACATTCTGGGGAGCATGTATTATACAATGCAATGGTTACTTAAGCTTATATACCTGTAACGTACATATAGAGCAATTAGTAAATTTTCACAAATCTGCGTTTTCACTTGAGCTCATCTTATATTGCTCTCAACAACTGTCCCCAACCACCACTACTTATTCCTATGTGGGCACACTCCCCCCTTCCACAGCCTCCACTACTACCCCATACGTTTTAAGTCTCAAGGATTACGCTTGAGACTCACATTTTGTCACGATCGTTAGTATCTCATGGCCATCCAATGTAATCTCATGTTTATTATTTTTTTCTGTTGTAAATAACTCACTCAATCATACTGTCTGATTCTTTCGGTAAAGTCACGTAGATAGAAAAATAATTAAAGAACACGACGTTTCATTCGCAACACAAGCGCTTAATATAGGCACGGGAGGGGGGGGGGTTAGAGTCGTTGCTGCAGGAGTTCACAGGGGAAAGGGGGGAGGGTTTGTGGAGCGACGGGTGGGGGATGGGGAAATTAGCATATCAATGACATTGAATTAGTAAACGAAAACAACACGGGTGTAAGAGTGAGAATCACAGCAGTTAAAATTTGACGTAGTTTATCACGCCCTTCCAATGATTGCTCAATCTGAATCATCTTCTCGATGAAAGTGTTGTCTTTGTTTGTATATCTGGATGGTTTCATGAACAAATGTCTGATAGCAGCCCGAGGGTTTGCAGGGCACCTTGGTCTCGGAAAAAAACTATGTTATGTGTGCCCACAGCATTGAAACAATGATCCGCCACAGTCGGGGTGTTGGTTCTACCCTCAGCTGTACTTAACTCAGCTCACTTGGTTTCTCTAATCAAGGACATCTCACTGTGCCGGATGATTTGCTTGTCAGTTTCGATGTAGTCTCTCTGTTCACCAATGTACCTGTATTTGACACCATTGTACTCATTGAAGACTTGGTCCAACAAGGACTTAATTCAGATGTACCAACTCTGGTAAGGTATTGTCTCACCAACACATACTTCACCTGGAATGGTACATTTTACAAACAAAATGAGGGTACCCCAATGGGTTCTCCCTTATCACCAGTGGTAGCGAATGTTTTCATGGAGAAATTTGAAACAGATGCCACCCAGACATCTACCCTATGTCCTTCCTTGTTGAAAAAAGTACATAGATGACATGTTCGTCATCATCCCACATGGCCTGCCAGCACTGAACCAATTTCTCAACTACATCAATCCCGTACTCCCATCTATCAAATTCACCATGGAAGATGGCTCGTTGAAACATTCGGTTTACAGGAAAGCCACCCACACGGATGCCTATCTAAAGCCTGACTCCCACCACCATCCAGCCCAGAAGAATTCGCTCATCAAAACACTACACCATAGGGCCCGTTGATGGACCCTGATTAATCCTTCATGATAGCCTTTTAATGTAGATAGAGGATTGTCGTCCCCACCGCTCTCCGGGGTCACTTAGTTTGCGTGCTGCATGAGGATAAGCTTTTGCACCTAAGTGTCCAGAAGTACCTCTTGACACTGCACCATGACTATTATTGGCCGGAGATGACTGCTGATGTCTTCAGATGGATCCAAGGATGTGTTGAATGTGCGCGCAGGAAACCGCCGCAGCAGAAGTTCCATCCGCCACTGCAATCCATTTCGGGCCCTTTCCGGCCACTCCACGAGGGAATACATTTATTTTAGTGAGGGTAGAATATTTTTCCCGATGGCCTATGGCTTGGCCGCTGTCTGACCAATTGGCGGCCTCCATTGCGGAGGCGTCTTTGTATGTTTATGTGATGGACAAGGAAGCCCTGGAACAATTGCTCACTTACCAGGGGTACAATTTCTCGTTAAAATTGCTGCGTGAGGTTGGCGACGCCTTGGGTACTAGGAAAATTAGGACGTCACCATACCACCCGCAGATGGATGGAATGGTGGAGTACCTGAATAGAACTTTGACCTCCATGCTCTCTCAGGCAGTCGACTTCGGGCAGGCGGATTGGGATTTGCATGTGCCGAGTGTGTTGGCCATGTACAGGATGGCCCCTCATGCTTCCACGGGATTTTCGCCGTTTTTTCTCATGTATGGAAAGGAGAATGTGCCCTCATAGATGCCCAATTGAGTTGATCACTGGATAAAGAAAAGTCCAAATTGTCTGAGCATGTGCAAATTTCCTTACAGCGCATTTCTATGGCTCGAGAGGTGGCCAGAGTTAACACCGCAAAATCACAAGCGTGCAATGAACATAATGCAGGGAAACGGGATCACGTGTTGTTGTAATCCATCGGCGACAGAGCATGGTTAAATTTCCTCCATGTGCTGGTTGGTACATCTCCTAAGTTACATAAGTCCAGGCACGGACCCGTGGATGTGGTTGAGGTGAAACGTCCACAATGTGTGCATATCAGGGTGGGCCATCGCCGTTGGTTCGTCCATCCTTCTCGTTTGAAGCCGTTTGTCCCTCAACGTACTGCCTCGTCATCTCCAACGATTGGGCTGCCGGTGTCTGATGTGTCTGACGGGTCGGTGATGGTGCATTCGGAGGGCATGTGCTGTGCTGTCCACAGCTTCCGGGACTGTGCCTGTGGACGGGGCTCGGGACCTCGCCAGGATCGGCTGCTGCTGCTGATTCTGCTGCTCTTGTGCCTCCCGTGCCACAGTCCATCGCACCTCCATTCGATCCGGTGGCTGGGGTGCCACCCGAGCAGGACTAGGAAGCCGTCCCCGTTGATGGACCAGGGTTGCTCGGTCCGAATTTGATGGTTCCATTGATCCTTGCTCTGGTGTGCTCTGGAATGTCGGAGTGTCTAGGGCAGGGGTCCTCAAACTACGGCCCGCGGGCCACATGCGGCCCGCCGAGGACATTTATCCGGCCCGCCGGGTGTTTTTGCCGCCGCTGCCTGTCTGTTACTTTTTTTCTACATGAGAAGGACGGTCATTGGTGGAAGAGGGAGAGGGGGCGGAGTTCCCCCAATCAGACTGCATTGATGGGCAGTGCAGTCTGTATGTCTCTGTGTGGGCAAAGTTATTGCTGGTATATTGTTTTTGTAGCACTATATATATTGGTATTTTACTAATAGCAATTTTGACTCCCTAGGAAACAATAATGTCAAGAAAGAGAAAAATTGACTCGGAGTGTAGGATGTTCAAATAACAGTGGACTTATGATTACTTCTTCAAGCAGTACAAGGAAAGAGCTGTGTGTCTGATATGCCAGAATATAGTGTTTGTGTTCAAAGAATACAATTTACGTCGACACTATGAAACTCAACATAAAGATAAATATGATTGTTTGGTCGGAGAAGTGAGAAAAGATAAAATATTAAAACTGAAAAATATATTAACAACTCAGTAAAATACTTTTGTAAAGCAGAAGCAGATAAATATTTCATCACTGCGAGCAAGTTTTCAAGTTGCCAAGCTAATAGCATGCACTGGCAGACCATTCGTGGAGGGAGAATTTATTAAGGAATGCCTTCTTTCTGTTGCCAAAGAGATGTGTCCAGAGAAGGCCGATTTATTTAGTACAGTGAGTCTTTCAGGACCTACAATTACACGGCGGATTGAAGAAATGGGAGACAATTTGCATCAGCATTTGCAAAACTCCACAAAAAAACTTTCCTATTTTTCCTTGGCACTCGACGAAAGCAATAATGTTCGTGATTCTGCACAACTTCTAATTTTTATTCGTGGGACGAATGACTATTTCGAAGTCACAGAAGAGCTTGCTGCACTGCAAAGCATCAAAGGAACATCTACAGGAGAGGATATCTTTCGATTTAAAGCTTTCGTGACTGCAGGGATTCATCTTCTTGGTTTTTTCGGTAAAGTCACATAGAAGGAAAATAATAAAATAATAAAACATTATAAAATAATTCTCACGACGTTTCGGCCACAACACAAGCAGCCGTCCTCAGGTGAAAACCAGGTCTGTCGGGGAGACAGCGTCTGAATGAAACAGCACACGAGCTTGGAGCATATATAAGCTGGGTTGGAAACGGGGGAAAGAACGCCTTGACAAAATAATTTGCATATCAAGAGGAATTTAGCATATTTATGGGAAATGCAGGAATGTGATTAGTACTACATATGCCCGTGCTGCATATGTAGTACTAATAACATTCCTGCATTTCCCATAAATATGCTAAATTCCTCTTGATATGCAAATTATTTTGTCAAGGCGCTCTTTCCCCCGTTTCCAACCCAGCTTATATATGCTCCAAGCTCGTGTGCTGTTTCATTCAGACGCTGTCTCCCCGACAGACCTGGTTTTCACCAGAGGACGGCTGCTTGCGTTGTGGCCGAAACGTCGTGAGAATTATTTTATTATGTTTTATTTTGATTATTTTATTACTTCCCTTCTACGTGACTTTACCGAAAGAACCAAGAAGAGAGGATATCTATGAAAAGGTTTGCCAAACTGTGAATAGTTTGGAGCTGAACTGGGCTAAACTAGCCAGTGTGACAACTGATGGTGCCTCTAGCATGGTGGGGTCTAAGAAAGGAGTAATTGCTAGCATTAACCAAGAGATGGACAAACATAACCATTCTCATCCAATAGCCATACATTGCCTCATCCACCAACAAGCGCTGTGTAGTAAATCACTGAAGTGGGACTCTGTTATGAAAATTGTGGTATCTTGTGTTAACTTCATTAGAGCTCATGCACTAAACCACAGACAATTTCAGGAATTTCTGTCTGAGCTAAATGTTGACTATGAAGATGTTTTGTATCACACAGAAGTCCGTTGGCTGAGTCGAGGGAGAGTTTTGAAACGTTTCTATGACTTCCACAGATTACAGCTTTTCTGCTTTAAAAAAAACAAAGAAGTACCAGAGCTCAATGATGCAGAATAAAAATGGCACATTGCCTTTCTGACAGATGTAACAGAGCTACTCAACAGTTTCAATGTGCAACTTCAAGGAAAGGGGAAGCTCATCTGTGATA